TAGTCTACTAAATCGCATTTAATTCAGTTTGTGAATTAATCATGAGAATGAAGATGATTATCTTGGAAGATGATAATTTTACAGATAGATATACAGAGTTCACCATAATGGAATGCATGTAAAGTATATGTAAAAGTTCACTCCTGTCTAGCTTCATACCATGATTTTTTTTAAAGAAATGTTATGTTTACTGAAGAAAATTTTCAATGGTAAAATACTTGATCTGGAGCCAGATTTCCTAGGTCATAACCCTTCTTACACTATTGTAGCTGTGTGTCCTTGGACAAGTCACTTAATCTTTCTGGAACTCATTTCCTTCAACTGTAAATTGAGAAGGCTGTGGTTGAAAAGCTCTAAAGTTCCATCCTGTTCTAATAACCTATGAATCTGTGAGAGAGAAAGTTCATAAATATTCCATAATCTTCCTTTTACCAAAATGTTACTTCCAAATATAGATAACCTTCTATGACACAAAGCAAATGTTGTGACAAGGTACCTTTCAATTAATGCAAATTTTAAAGTTACTATTTAAAACAATTCAAAAATAGAGCAAACTCTATCAAGATGTTGTGATTTCAGATATTTCAGAACACAACATAGAGATCACACGCCAATCAAAATAAATCTAAATGAAGCAAATTATTAACTATGAATTTTATAGAGTTCTGGAATACTTCCAAATTCCTACTATCATTTTCAAAATAAGCCTTTCGTGAGAAAAAAATACAGTCTCAATTAAACAGAACATAGCAATTACATATAAATTTTAAAATTATTATTATTTTTATTTCAAACCTAGAAGGAAAGTTCAACCTGACAACAAATTTATGTCAGTCATTCAGTGAACCTTTTTCATACTCCTCTAACTTCTAGGTCATGGAACTTAAAATCAAAAATAAAAACACAAATTCAGAAAAGTACTCACCCAGGTCAATGTACAGTTCTTAATTTAAAATATAATTATATTCATTAAATAGAATCTTAATATCCAAAGTATCCTAGTTCGTCTTATAAGGATGTTTGAAAATAAAGCTTGACATTAAAATGGGTTTCTGGTTAACTCCTACATGACTTAATTTACCAGAGTGAAACCACTCTACTATGCAGATTAGTTCACTGAGGATTTATTGTGAAAGCAGTAACCAGAAGTTATAATAGAAGGGACATGAGTAGAATTCCCTCTCTTTAATATCCTCAAGATGTTACTTCACTCACAGTGCTCACTCACAAGTTCTCTGCTCCGACAGTTAATGGGAGATTCTTGAAAATTTTAATATCCTGCCAGCAGTCAGTCACCATTAGCAAATTTGGGATAAGAAAGTGTTATATCTGGCTGGGCACGGTGGCTCATGCCTGTAATCCTAGCCCTTTGGGAGGCTGAGGCGGGTGGATCATCCTGAGGTCAGGAGTTCCAGACAAGCCTGGCCAACATGGTGAAACCCCGTCTCTACTAAAAATACAAAAATTAGCCAGGTATGGTGGACCTACCTGTAGTCCCAGCTACTCAGGAGGCTGAAGCAGGAGAATCACTTTAACCTGGGAGGTGCTGCTTGCAGTGAGCCAAAATGGCGCCACTGCACTCCAGCCTGGGTGAGAGAGTAAGATTCCATCTCAAGAAAAAAAAAATTGTTATATCTATGTTACGGACATCAACTTACCAGAGTTTTTTGTTTGTTTGTTTCTTTCCAGATGGATGGTTTGACTTTATGATCAAAGAAGACAAAATACCCACTACAGTTAATTTTTTCTAGATATGATTGAAAAAAAGACTTTCTAGACGTCACATATAACTACTGAACAATAAGGAAGACTATAATATGAGCTACTTTTCTGTTTGTGAGTTTCAGCACTTCTGTCCCATTTAATAGACCTTGTTTCTGGCTTAACTATACTTTAAAATCTTTTTACTATATGACAATAAATATGTATGAGCATTTTAAATAAATCAATTTCAAGTATTTAAAATAATGTATAATTTAAAATTTCAGTTTAGCATCTCTAATTGTATTATTTATATCACAGACATCATGAGATAATTATTTTACAGTTTAGTTACAAAAATGTTTAGTTAAAATTATTATGGATATAAGAAATGTTAAAATTATATACAAAAGGGCAACCTAATCTGGCACTGATTAGACACATACAAATACAACTGGGCATTGATTACCAATGCCATGAATATTTTGTGAGATAATGAACAACTTGCAAACAGTAAAGCTGAAAAACTCCACAAGTTTGACAATTAAAATCAGACAAAACTAAAATATACTACTATAGTCCATTTAGTAACCGTGATAATGTTTTAGAAAATTCTGGCACCATTTCAAACTATAACATCAAAGTTAATACTAATATTGTGTTTAAAATGTTGAAAAAATTAGTTGGTGTAACTGGAGTATGCAGTGAACGATGGTATGCATATTAAATAGAAGCTGTTGAATCCGTGACATATTTTAATATAGAAGACTGTATAACTAAGAACACTTAAAATGATGCAAAACTAAATAATAAAAAGACCAATGTAGAAACTATGAGAACCCAATAAATGACTTAATAGGAGTATAATACGTATACCACAATACTGATAAATACTGGTACACACCTTACATTTACAAGTAGGACATATTCTCCTAATATTTAAGAGTTACAAATAAGCATGTTACAGCTCTTCTCAACTGTATAAAGAAGCAGTCAATAAAACACAGAGCATAACAGGGAAGAGTGCAGCAGGTCAAAAAAGGCAGATGTCAAAAAAATATGTTTTCCTTTGGGGACAAAAAAGTGAAAGGTTTTTATGCATTTTAATTAACCATCTTGCAAAAAGTAAAAATAAAAAAGAAGCAGGTGAAGTCTACTAACTATCACCTTCTAGCCCCATTAACACTTTGTAGTCTAGCAGGAAAAAAAAAGGAAAAAAGAAAAACACCCTCCCATTGTAGGCCATTAAAAAACATTCAAAGCTTCCTCCAGTATCCTTCCAACAGCTACTGAGAAGATTTATCTTCAAAGAACTTTCTTGTTTACAATACAAATCTTCTCCTCTGTTACAAATTAAACCCAATTATCTGGCTACCAGTTTCCACAATAAAACCTGGTAGACAGAGGAAACAGTAACCTTCCCATTTTTTTCCCTCACTATTTGATAGCCTGCAGGTTTCAAGAAGTAAAAACTACTCTTACTTATCCCGTGAACAGATAGGTGTTGAGAGGGCATGGAAACCCCTAGAAAGATAAATGGCCTCATTTTCTTTGGATCAGGCTTTGGAGACAACTTCCAAAGATCTGAAAAAGTGTGGAAAACTCTCAGTTGCTTATTGGATCTATAAATGTTTAAGCTACTATGAGAAATATTCTACAGAAAAGCATCATTAACTCTTTCTGGTCATTGGAATCTATAGTCATTGGTATGTCTAGTCATTGCTGAAGGACAAACTACAAATACTCAAGGCAATAGATCCATTTGTTGAGATAGCAAACAGATGAAATGCAATCACATACACTTGGGTCCTGGCCAAGTCTAACTCACCCTGACAGACTGGGGCTCAGCTTTTAATCAAGCAGCTGCTCAAAGAACACATTTGTGTCCCTGTAGCAGCACCCAACCAATGAGGAATTTCATAAAATCAAGTTTATTCTAAGTCTCCAAAATGCATTTGCTCATGCTCAATACAATATATGCAAATTTCAGTTACAAAATTACAAATTCAAGTTCATTCTGTGATACCATTTTGCATTAGAAAGAGGTTTACAGGTTTTAACTGGCCATTTTCTAATGATGTGCACTCTGCTTTGCAAAACATTAGATGTACTAAAAAAAAAAAAAAAAAAAAAAAGACAGAAACAACTTTCCCCAAATTTTCCTAACCTTACGTGGAAGCAAGGGTGTCTAAATACATAAAAAACTTACCCTCTCTCGCCTCCTAGTCTGCAGAATTCCCGACTAGGCAAACCATGAAAGGCAGAATCATAAAACTCAAGTTTAGTCATACCTTAACAGGCTGTGTTCCTGTTGAACATTAAATACTTTGACAACACAACAGCGCCTTCTCCAGTACTAAAAGCAGAATGATTAATCTTATTAAGCGAGCATTTGAACCATGGCCACCATGCCATGGGAGAATAATTAGGATGCTAATGACCTAAATACTGTGTCTACAAACTCCTATTACTGGAGCAAATAAGAAGAGAGAATATTCATGCTTAAAATGGTCAATTAAATTAAGAATATTTTCCATAGGAACAAGATTATCTACACTGCAAAATAAATATATTTTGGTAGACTGGCCTGTGACCACAAGTAACCTTTTTCTGTTTATAACAAATGTTTAGTACCGTTATGTCAGAAAATGTTTTACTAATTTGCAAAGAAGTGGCAAAACATGGAATGCCATCCAATTTCAAGTTGAGGAATTCCTATGTCCCTAACTGTTGTGAGTAAACAGTAACGTTTTCCCCCTCCTTACACAGTTCATGAGAGATTTAAAGAGGAAGATTCGTTGAATATAATGAAAACTTACAGCTGAATTCTTTGGCCACATCACTTTATATTATTACAGTAATACACAGAAACAAGGCAATATGAGGAGCTGAATAGGAAAAAAAAACACACAAATAAACTTTGAACTGTTATTCTCAAGAACTGAAGAACTATTTATTATTGTAAATTTCAATATCATTCAAGACAAAACCAAGTCTTAGCTTCAAGGTGAATTCACAAATAACTGGAGTCAAAAATCTCTTGACACCTTTCTCTAATACTTAAGAATACGAAACTCATTTTTAAAAATTCCAAATCCAGGTAATTTGAAGATCAAGAAGAAAGCTTTTCTTACTGTGTACGAAATTATGGATTCTTATTACAACAAAAAGCACATAGTGTCTGCCTTTATAAAGTGTTATTGATTCCTCTTTCATATGCCAAATAGTATTTTCAAAAATGCTGGTTTACAAAAGCTATTCTCTTCTTTTCTTGAATGACTGCCCAAAAATGTACATACCATACTTTTGGAGAAAATCACTTCTAACAGAAGGAATTGTCGTGGCAACAGCATACAAATACAAGGCCATATGGTGTCCTTTCCTGAGATTAGAGGCAATAACCCAACACACTTAGGAGTTTAGTCCCTTTCTGAATTAAGAACTTGGTGTTGCCCATATAAACCCATGAGATGAGAATACACTCAGGCTGTACTAATTACACACAGGGACCTCTGCTGTTATCTCTGCTGTTTAGCATTGTCCCATGGTTAATTCTGCTTTGCTTTAGTTGAAGCCAAAGACTAGCATAACAAAACAGTGTTTCCCTACACGGGACCCTCTGTCAGCCACATGCTTTTACTGCATAAATTATTTCTTGAGAATAAACCTGAGCCCTTTGTGAGATGCTGAGTTAAGGCCAGGAGTGAGAGATTGCTGCAGCCACTTCAGCCAGGAAGTTAGTCCGAATCAAACTTAGAAAAAAAGGGAACAATGCAGACAGAACCAAGAAAAGAAGTCAGTTGACGGCAGCCAAATGCTCACAGCAACGGTCAATTCTCATTGCAAAAGCCTTTGCTTTTGTCCCCCATGCCTCAAATAATGAATCTGTTTTGTAAGCTACTGGGCTGATCCACCTAAGCAATAGTAGGAATCATGAGAAGCGGGATCATGAATATACATGCTCTTGGGAAACTAAAAGTAGACTGAGGATTTCTTTTTGCCATTAAAAGAGAGAAATTAATGATCGTGAAATCAATGCACACCGTCATTGCTAAAGTGTATGTTATTTACTGCAACAAGAATTCAAATGAAAAAGACGCCTATGTCTATATAGCCTGCAGTGGAGGTCAAAGAGAGGTGGTAAGATGTGGCCAAAGGTATCCAGCTGCACAGGACAAAGATGGCTATAGAACCCAAACCACTATTCTCTAAATTGTGGGATCTCTTCTCCAAGCCACACTCTCTCTGGAGTCCACTTCCAGACCAAACAGGACTCAGAGTGAATCAAGCCAAATGAGGCATGAGAAAGGAAAGGGGCTGAAAAAGAAAGAACATGCCCATCTAGCCATCGGTCTGTGTAGAGTCACGGAAGGTGGGCCTTCTCACTTAGTGTTGCAAGAAGAGAGTTCTTATCAGCTCTCCTATCAAGTCCCAAGCCCAACCTGCAGTGGCACCCCTGGCCAACTTACAAGCATTAGAAAGAGGCAAATCAAATGCTGCCAGGGAAGAAAACAACAGAGCAGGACTTCTATTATCAAACCTCAAAGCCTTAGCAGCTTAGCCTCTGCCTCCTCCACCCTCCTGGAGCCCGCTTGCTGACCTAGACAGAGATATCTTGGTGTATGCGTGTGGCACATGCACCTGTGACCCCAACCCCAAGCCCTCAAGTAGTGACATTTCAACTGGATTTTAAATGTTAGTTAGCATAACCTTGAAATAGAAGCGGCTGTTTAAAAGACTTAAAACATATGTATCTGAGGTAAGAATACTGTCCACATCAAAGGAAAAAAAAAAAAAAAAACAGGCAAGAACTCTGTGCTATAATTTGTGGGAGCAAAAAGATAATCTTAGAAATTATCTATCCAAGACCTAGCATTTTATAAATGAACTGAGAATCAGAGAGGCAGGTGTTGGCTCTCTGAAATGAAAAACAATGAGTTCCCAGATGCCCTGATCAACCTGAAACTTTTTGAGTGAAAAGTCCAACCCTGGGAGAAAGGACACTAAGCCTAAATGTCAAAATCCCAAACTTTGGGTTAACCCATGCTATCAATTAGCATAGAAACTGAAAATATCATTTGCCTGTTTAAACTCAGTATACGAATATGGAACAGGGGAAGATTAAGAGCTTGAAACACATGATCTTTCAAGTTTTTTTTTTCCCAGATGTAAAGTTCTATGATTCTGTTCTGAACTGAGTAAGAGTAAATAACAAGAAAAAAATGTAAACCGTTTTAACTGCAGTTGAGATGATTACTTTCAAAATTTTAAACTAACAAAGGTTTACAAGAACACCCTCATTTTTTATAGATTTTCTTCCCTGGCCTCTGCCACACATATTCTTCTATCTATACAACTAGAAGGACAGTCTGACCTTAGCATTTAAGGGTAACAATGAGCCCAACAGACAATTAGCCGTTAACACTGTGATATATTTAGCATCCAAGAAATGTACTATCAGTACACTGAAAGTATTTGGAAAGTTTAGTCATCAGTGGATAGAGCATGAATCACATCCATGTCACCAGCAGACCACTTATCTAATCACCCCACTATACATGCAAGACTCTGTGTCTCCAGAGCTGGTTTGTTTCATATTTTAGCTTCACAGTCACAGACAAATTCACTGAACCAAAATAAAGCCTCTGACTTTCTGCTTTGCACTGTCCTAAAATGGGTTAGTGATGTCTTGCCCACAGAATTCCACACCGTGATCTGAATGAGCAGAAAAAGATTCTGTGAGGCTCTCAGCAGAGATGATACCAAATGGCCAGTCAAGAGGTTAACTCAAGTTCCTCTGAAGGAGGCACCGAGGTGATGGAGTCAGCAAAAGGCTGTGAAGTGTATGTAAAATTTCACTTAAAACTTAAAACAAGCTTAAAAGAAGTTAACAGGCATGGTTTTTTGAAAAAAAAAAAAAAAAACTTTTTTTAAAAAAACTACATTATAGTGTTCATGATCATCTCTTTAATAAGCTAATAACCTTCACTACCATGAAGTAAAGCATACAGGCTCTTATAAATACCTTCTAATTGGTCATTCCAACCTTATTTTAGAAGAAACGACAGAGAAACAACAACAACTTCCCGAGGATCCCTGCTTACAAGTGTACATCAAAGCCACACTCTAAGGCCCCTTATTTCCACAGGCTGGCAAGCAAACAAGGCACATGACTTTGCAAGAGTGTATCTTAATTCTCTTACTAAAGAAAAGTCAACAGCGCAGAGACAACACAGAAAAAGAAATCAAAGAGGCCAAATCTGTGGACCGAAAACAATAAGAAAAAAATAAATCAACTTTGATAATATTTAGCAATGCCAGGGGAGTAGGTAAATGCACTGGGAAATATTTGTGGACTATGATGACAGTAAATGTCCTTTCAGTACAACTGATATTCATCAGACCTTGAATAAAACCCTGAATCTGGGCAAAGCAACTATATAGGAACTAGGCCAGTGGAAGGATGAAGTGAGCTGCATGTATACTCTGAAAGTTTCCAGCGGCCAGAGTAAAAAGAAACCGGTGAATGGATTTTAATAGCATATTTTATTTAACCCAATATATCCAAAATATTATCACTTCAATATATAATCAATATTTTTAAAGGACACATTTTATGTTGGGATTTTTTTTTTTTTTTGATATTTGGTCTTTAAAATCCAGAGCAACCACATTAAAAAGGATCAATAGTTATGTATGGCTACTGGCTACCATATTGAACAGAACATTTAAATACCTACATAGTTAATTGCCTGGAATGCAGAAGTGTCAATATACCTGAGATGAGCCAGGAAAATGTAAAAAATAAAAGATGATGAAAAAAATAAATATGTTTTAGCAAAGATGCAGCACAAATATTCTCCACTGCCTGAGAAGGGAAGGTGAGGTAGATTTAGCATAACTGAAATAAGAATGATTTGGATTTAGCTAACTTCATAGCTGTTGGGACCAAAACATTTCTACTACTGTGGGCATTTGTACAGAATCCTCTTCCTTGGAATACTGTATAAAATACACATAGTTTAAAAAAATAACAGAATTAGCCCTGGAAAAAAAGATAGGGAATATTCAATACTGCTATAAATTCCTTCAAGCTTTAAAAGATGATTCTTAATGTATATAAAGTTACACTCCATAAAAGGCTGAGTAATTTATAAAAGACTGAGTAATTTATACAAACTCCAAAGAGGCATAATGAAAATATGCATTTCCTTTTAAAAATTCCAAAGGAAAAATGTCAGTATCTGGAGAAAGAAAAAGGAAAAAGACTATCTAAAACAAGAGCAGTCATTTGGAAAGAAATCAGATTTCATAGTATATAGTAGTGACATCCTCCAACAAGTAAGATGTTAGGTGGGAGAGGATACTAGACGCTGGGGAGGGAGGGATAGAGAGAGATTTGTTAAAGGATACAAAATTACAGCTAGATATGAGGAATAAATTCTAGTGTTCCATAGCACTGTAGGACAACTTTAACAATATTCCAGTTTCAAATAGCTAGGAGGAGGATGCTGAACATTCCCAACAAAATAAATGACAAATGTTTGAGATAATGAATATAGTAATTATTTTGATCTGATCAATATACATTATATGTATATAGGTATCACTATGTATCCCATGAATATATACAACCATTATTTGTCAAAGAAAAAATAAAATTAAAATTAAAGATGTTAGATGGGGCAAGAGAACTAGATCTTAGAGTACTTTCAACTGATTCCAAGCCTTTATGTACACACTACACTGTATTTTTTTCCATTGGTTCTCATATAAACAGTACAGAAACATATATCCAATAGAAAAAAAATTGATCAAATATTTTGTATTTGGATTAAACTTATATTTGAATTTTTTCCTAAATTGGCCTGATAATTGATGAGTAATAAAATGGACTTTAGCTTCATTTGAATTATGTTCTTCTCCTTTAAATTCCTTTGCCATGGAGCTGTCAAAGATGGTTTTTAATAATGACTCACATATCAAGCTGTAGTTCAAAGTTGATGATGTCTGAACCTGGTGTCAGTAAAATACTTAAGTTACTAAGTCATGAGAGATTTTAGTTATAGGGCTTCTAAATTCTCATGCCCAGAATCTGTTATTAATATGCCATGACCTTAGGCACATGGCAACCTTTGACTCAACCTGTCCATCTTCTTAAAAAAAAAAAAAATCAATGTATTCGTCTCCATCTAAATTGTAGGCTGCCTACACAATGGAAAAAAAAATTGAAAAGAAAAAAATGTCTTACAACTAATAGCATTTAAGTTTAAATTCTGTTTGTCAAAAATTGTTAGGCTCCTTGTTGTTCTCAATCATTTTCTTGCCCAGTCCAGCTAAGTGTAACAGGGTTCCTAAGTCATGCTTCAATGATCTCCAAGCGGGAGGAGAATGTTTCTTGCCTACAGAAATTCACTGGACTGAGAACCCTGGAGTGCCAGGAGTCTGCAACCTTTCCTTAAAGCCTGGTAAACAAAGTGATATCCTGGAAAGACCCAGGGTTACTCAGAGTGCTAGCTCCTGGGGTTAGGTGTTGAGGCTGAAGCTTTTTATGAAAGAGATTCCTGACAAAGATTCTTCTACCCACAGGGGATTGCCCATAGCAATCACTTCCACAAAAATGCCATGCGGGAAGCCGGGGGCATCATGAGTCATACTGTTTTAGTTACTCCCCTGTTCTTCAGACCCTCCAAACTGGAAGATGCAGGAATGTCCCCAATGTGAATCACTGTGCTATCCTGGGGCTGACCACTGCAACATTCACCAGTGAGTTGGCAGATGTGAAACCAGTCAACCCGAAGGACTTTCAAACTTGGCCCAGGGTAGCTGTCTCCTGGCTGGTGACAAAGCATCCACTGGTTCTTGGCATCTTTCTCATGGAAATTCCTGGTACAGGGCCCCCAGCTACACAATCCTGAGTACAGATAGGAAGATGCCTGCAGCCCTCATCAGAACCACACTGGAATCACCACAACCAATTTATTGTGGGCCACCTTTCCAGTTTGCCAAGATTATTCCAAAGTCAGGGAACTGATATTAAAATGACTACTTCCATTTATACAAACACGTCTATGTGAATTTTACAACACTTTTTAAGTGACAGAACAAGTGGGATATCTGAACTCTACTTCACCTCGTACTGTTTTGGATTTTTCAACATGTATCAAAAGAAAACAAGCAAATTCAGTAAATCTCATGAAGTTTTTATAATGCATTTTTATCAGGTCAGCCAAAGTTTGCCACATTATCCTTTTTAGGAAAGCATTCATTCAAATATTTTTGATGTTAAATAGCGGTAATTGTCATCTGTTTAATGCAGTCGTTCTCAACCATGGGTAATTCTGGCTTCTGGTAAAATGTGGCAATCCTTGGACATACTTTGGTTGTGACAACTGTGGATTCTAATGCATAGAGGTCAGGAATGCAGCTAAACAACCTATAGTCCACAGAACAGCCCTATACGTCAAAGAACTATCTGGTTCAAAATGCCAACAGTGCCAAGGTTGAAAATCCCTGGCTTAATGTCTTCGGTAGGTGTATTTTTTTGAAATTTTACTTTTTAATCCATATGGCCTAGCATATAACTTGTTAGGGAGAGACCACGAGGTAAGACACTTTAATAATAATGAAAATAATAATGTGATTTTTTGAATTGTGTTTTACATTTTACTAAGTACTTTAGCACATTTTCTCATCAGACTCTATGTATTATTTTGAATATCCTTTTATAAACTATGTTGAGTCAAGCCACATGAATTTTAGCTTAGAACAAGGCAAAGTTTCTTCAGGAAATCATTATTTCAATAGGAAGTCAGTTATCACTGTTAAGATTTTCAGTGGAGAGTGAATGACCATGGATGTGCCTATTTTAGAAACAACTCCCAAAAGGCCAGACTAAGCCAGATGATACCAAAGGTCATTGACATTCGAGGTTTTTATATAAAATCAGTTAATGATTGTCATTTCCCTGTTTGTCTTTGATCTTGAGCACAAAATCAGTGTAATATAATAAATGCTCAAAGTCTGAGTGCCTCAAAGTATGAACTCCTGACTTAGAGAACTGAACCAACCAAGATACCCTTGCCACCTGAAAGAATTAACACTGGCATTCTCTAAAGGAATAGCTGCTTGTTTTATGTAATAAATACTTGTCTCAGAAATGAAGGGAGAAGAATCAGTATTTCATCTTTTAACAAACTAGATTAC